TTGGAATCAGCGTCTGAAACTGCATCTACCAGTATACATCGCTTCTCGGATCGTCACTTCGACTAAGTATTCTTCCCTTGTTAGATTTAATGGAGTGGATTAAACTCTCGAAATGAGGATTATTCTGCAGCAATGATGCATCGACATCTACCTGTTGCTAGTTGAATAATATTTCGATGCTTTCATCAACCCAGATTCCTTTTATATAGCTCGAGAGAACGCTGGAATGCAATTAGCAAAAGGGTCTGTGCATTTCGAAAAAGTTCTATTCACATTACAGAACATAATTTTCAATCATAGAGAATTTCATTAAAATGTAAAAACAGTGTTTACATTAGAATCCAGCTCGGACTGGCATATAAAACTCTCTCAGAATAAAAGGTTTCAAACATAATTTTCATTTCATCCTAATTTATCAAGCCTGTAGTGTTCTTTCTCGTGGCTGCCATTTCGGCATTTTTTGGTATCCAGAATGGATCTGCATTTACCATCTCTAGTTTTACCAAATATTTTGGAGCTCACATTTTATCAGAGTCAAGCGTGGTAATGTGTAACAATGACCCCATTTACAACTTAAAACAATAACCCTCACTCAGTACTCTTTAAAATCTTCATAACTTTTGCTTAAAAATCTCTCGAATATCATGAATTGATGAAGAATCTGATAGAATTGTTAGGAACATAAACGCAATGCCCTTTCCTCCCTAATGTCTTCTATAGGCAAAACATAAGGATGATATCTTTTCATATGTCATACAACACATGAGCAGTTTATTTGTAACAGCGAATAGGAAAGGCAAAAAAATCTTCAAAAATTGAGGATGGGATGCATGCAAATTTGTTGTTTATTTTCTTTGCGAGTACAATCCCGGGCAAAGTTACTAGTTCAAAAAAAAGTAGGTTAGAATTTTCTGTTTTAAAAGAAGAAAGTTTTGAAAGCGCTTGATAGGGCTAGTTGGGTAACTATCTTTTCTCAGTTGTTTCGCCTTCATCTGGGAAGGATTGCTATCACTAATCAGTTATCTTTCAGAGTGATCTCTTACAATATTCTGTAATGTTGTTAGATAGAACGTAGAAGACTTATTGGTAATATTTATTCACCTTGATTCTCCAGACGCCGCTGGAGTTGAGAAGTGAGCGCAATTTTGTCCAAGAGAATGATCGTGGGAAAAGAATCATTAACTTATTTTCAAAAGCGTTTTCGGGAGAAACTTGAGCACATCAAAAAAATTGTGTAGACGGTTCTGATAACAAAGAAAGCATTCTCAGCGGGAGGCATTGTGTTTTTCTTGGGATAGAAAACGGGTAGCAGCTGTAAATGTCATCATTTAACATTTTAGCAAACATTTGGTGAAGAGGAAATGCATTCTTCGAAAGGGTCGAATATCACACTATTTTCTGCCGTTGATTCATCTCTCTGACGACAAATGAATATTTCTCACACGTGATAGCATTGAAGCTACTGATTTTGATTTTTGAGTGGGAGATTTTCAACAGATTAGTTAGTAAATTCGAATTTTTACGCTAGTAAATGCTTTTTATCTTTTGAACTCTTTTCTGATCCCCCTCTATGCCCTCATTCCAGTATGACACTCCTCTCTCCTCCCCCTCCCCTTCCCGCTCTCCTCGTCCTTCCTTCCTTCAAACTGTGCCGCAAATCACTGAAGTTTGACCCTGATTTTAATACGTAAGGTCCCTGAAAATATTGCCTTGATAATGTTCGACAACAATATACAATGCTTCGGTTACACTCATGCGATCAAAGCGGACGACAATTAAAGACTTTAGGGATTGTGAGTGAAAAACTGAATCCAGGATTCGGAACAACTTTACTCTCAGGATGCTGAAAGTTCTGCTGGTAAGCTGCAAACATCAACCAATTAGATGAAATGGATAAACCCCACCATTTTAGATATGTTTCATTCTTC